CGTTTGCGCGCAAGTTTGAAAAGCTGTTCGCTTCAAGCGCACGAGTTGTTTACAAGATGGCGACGAAAAATCTGGCGAATGCGAATCTAACATTTCTGACGTCAATTTGCAATCTATTTCAACTTTATTTCACTTTTCATTCATTCATTTACTTCTAATATCATATGTTATCAATTTCGTCTGCTAATTCGTTTAAACAGTACTTGTTCTCTCGCAATTAAATCTGCTGATAACCCTTCATGGGGGCCGCCATCTTTGAGTCAAGCGAGCGCACAGCGAGCGCACAGCGAGCGCTCGTGTATCCGTTCAGGAGGCGCTGCGTTCGTTCATCGAGCGTTCGCATCGCAAGCGCGCTCGCTCCACTGAAACATGCAGGCAGAGCATATGCATTGTGTAGAACCAGTAGGTTCGTTGTCATACCACCGTGACGTCATCACTTCGCGTACTCTATAGGCCAGAGTTTCAGGACCCTGTGTGTAGGAAACAAAGTTGAGAAAAGTCCTAACATTAGCCTCAGTGTGAAACTTCCTTTTATACCTTTGACAGAAATGTAAAATTAATAAGAATTAAAAAATCATAGCCAAATTTTCCTAAATAGCTTTAAGATTAAAATTCTTTCAACAATTAGGAGAAAAAAGTTAGTGTTAAAATTAATTTAAAGTAACTATATTGCGAGATTTTTCCAGTGTTTTCCCCACTTCATGATACCTACCGTTATTGCTTGAGTAACAGCAATTGTCTAGAGTAAGATTAAAATGTCTTAGAACCTTCGTTTTCACCAAATCATGCACGATTACAATTTTGCGTTCTGTTTATGTTTACCGTTGCCATCTCTCCGACTTTCTCACGGTAGGGCGCAGACATCTATCACGGTGCAGTAATGCCCACATAGTCCGCACCGCATGAAATGTACAACGACGATGTCCTGTGTGAGCTAGACCTGCGCCTCTTTATATATAAAGCTAAACATTGTTATAGCAGTTACACGTCATATTTCTCTTTATATATATATATATATATATGCGCATTCTTGCATTCATCCTTAATTGTAAGATTCTATAAAATGATTATTTGAAACTTTCATTCTGCTGTATTTTCCTAATGTTGGCTACGTAAGTCAATAGTTTAATTTAACTTGAGTTGACTTATCGTAGTGGCTTATCTGTTATCTGTAAGTATGTTTTTAGTATTTAAACCTTGTTTTCTATGAGAATGCACACATATACATGGCTCCTCACATTAATATGGCCAATATTACAATATATATACAATGTAATATGTAATACAAACAGTAAATGAAAGTGTCAATGACACTGTAGCTCACCTTGGGTGTGATAGAAGAGGGAGAGGGAGGGATATATAAAGCAAGAGTATATATGGAAGAACTCCATCCCCATATATCTCTCATTATATACTCTTGATAATGATATATGCATAAGTTTTGATGCAAAAATAAATGTTTCAGATCTGAAAGTCTGAAATCTTGACGAGAAATGGTGCTACGCCTAAATAATCGCCATTTTGGTTTTCAAATATCGCGAAAATAAAAACAATAAAATATTCCCGTCAAATTACTGTAACGAAGAAATATTACACATATATAGGTATGATTGTAAAGTTGTTAACCAGTTAGACAAAATAAACGTAATAGGACGTTGTCATCTCTCTCATAGGAGTAACAACTGTTTTGAGGCTAGCCTTACACATTCACATACCAAAATTTAACAAAATCGAATGAATTTAGATGGCCATTTTCATTTTTGCAAAAAAAGTGGGCGTGGCTCGAAAGTAGGTCGACTGGCGTGCTCCAAAATAAAACGTTCAAATCTCTCCCATAGGAGTAACAACTGTATGAAACATGTGGGTCAAACGGTTCTTGAGTTATCGTTGACCGTAGCCAAATGTTCACGGACGGACGGATGGACGTACGACGGACGACAACCCATGGCAATAGCTCATCTTGACGATGTCAAAGCGAGCTAAAAACTAGGTAGCATATAACAGAAGATATAACATTCACCTTCCAGGAATCCTGGCTAGATCTTCTCTGTAGAGATTGCGTTCAATGATAGATGGTAGTTCTTCAACTATACACGGCGGCGCGTCATTGTGTCCGATGACGACGGCTTCACAGATGGTTGACAGCATCATTGTACACGCCAGCTGACACATCGGTCTTCCAACCTACCACAAAACAATGACACGTTTGATTATTCTCCATCAATTTCGCATGTGTGCAGAACTCATCAATGACCGATACGTGTGAAACATAACAAAGGGGAAATGTGCTCTTCGTAAATTTTGATATATGTTACTAATACTTACTATGAAAATATCTACGCGCTTATATTGCTGCATGAACTTCAAGCATTAATTGTTTTTACACGGTTTAATTCGGGCACTCACTTATTTAACATGTTAACTGTTACAATAACTGTAAAGAAACCAATATCAGTAAAAATCCCTGATATTGGGGGTCTACCAGACAGCATATGTGAATAAAGAGAATGATGGCTCCAGACACAATCTAGGCAGGTCTCTGCACAAACACACCTCATCGACTTTCGACAGGGTCTCCAGTCTGTGTACGGTACTGCTAACTAGCTTCTGTACGTGTGGCACCAGGACAGCAGCAGGAAACAGCCCATGTAGAATCCGCAGGGCCCTGCAGTATAGCTCCACGGTTGACACGTCGCTCGCCTACCAATTAACGCAAAACCTTATCGGATTTCATTTCATTTGCACTCGATTACCTCCCAGCCGACGATCATCGCACAGGAGAGAATGCATTATTAACGGCTTTCGCTTGTATGTACAGTCAAACGCGCCACTCGATGGAGAACCCGGAAAGTGCATGTCCTTTATAGACAGGTGTCTATTTTAGGCAGGTGTCCTTTATAGGTATTTTAGGCAGGTGTCCTTTATTATAGACAAGTGTCTGTTATGTAGTGGTGGCTTTAATGTATGCACACCACTCAACGGGAATGCCAAAAGTTTCCTTTACCAGTTTACAGACAGTGGCCTGTTGTTAGAAACACAATTAGACTTAACATTAGTCTTAACACTAACTTTTGCCCACAGACCGGACCTGTGTAAACTGTGTATAAGAATTAAGGAACTTCATGATGTTTTTGTCAATGGTCTATGACAAAAAGGTGGCGTTACGACTAACGTTAAGTCTATTTTTGTTTCTGACCACGCATCCCAGGTGTTGATTCTATAGGTGTCTGGTAACACAGGTGCTATATGTTCTGACCTCAACAATATCTGATGTTACTCTTCTGGATATGTAGTGCGTAATATTAGCCAGTGACTGCTTAAATGTGCTTCTGATACTCAGTAGAACATTCGCTCCCGACTTGCCACCACATTCCTGTTCATCTATTGTCTGCAGCTCATAGTCTACCATTGATCCTACAAACATAACAAATGTGTTTAAATTCCTATGAAGACAAAAATACTGTTCACATCTAACCTTATATATATAGCTTCACGGCATTGACCAACAAGGTGGGCGAATATCCATGGGGAAGTGGGTCTGTGACCGACAGAGATGGTCCAGTCCTTTTCTTCACACGTCTCTATTTGGGGGCAAGAAAGTCACTCAACCGGGAAAATGCTTTCAGCAACAAGGAACGAACAAACGCATCAATAAAATCCGTTAATTTTCGATCGCTCACGTGTTTCTCTTCACTCACCGCAGTCATCCGGGAAGTGCGCTTCGTCGTGTAAACAACAGAGCAGCTGCAGGGTGGAATCCGCTCTCTCGCTCTGCATGTAAGCGTGAGTGCTCGCAGATCCCAGCGTCTCCGCCAGAGGGCGCAACAGTGCAGAAAAGTTCGTGAGCTGGCCTGTGTCGGCGAGCAGAATCAGCATCCTTGCTAGTTGCTAAACATCACTTGTCCCCGCTGTAAATTCCTCCTTGCCTGCAATGTGTAATAATTAACTCTAGGTATTAGACTAAGGGAACCAGAGTCAGATATCATATATCATATAGTATATATCATTTATAACTGTGCTTTATTATCTTTGTGTGTAATTGTACTTGTGTATATATGTATATATATTAGTGGTGTAACGGTTAACCGCGGTTAACCGAAAACCGCGGTTTTTGCGCCACCATTCGGATATTCGAACCGTCGTTCCGTTTTCGGCTCGGTTTCGGTCCCACATTTTATATATACCCGATATATACGCTTTTGAGATACGCGCACTGCGATTGGCTGGTCGTAAACTCTCGGCCAATCAGCGAGCAGATAACATTGATAGACCACTTGCTACATGCCACGAGAAGGTCAACGCGTTCATTTTGTCTGCAAAAATGACAACTTATGTTGATTGTAATTATTTAATATTTATAAAACAGTCTGCTTATTAAATTTGCACTTCTGTTTGGTGTTATAAGATTTGTAATTGATCGCAAATATTCGAACCGAAAATAACCGAACCGAAATGTGAAAACCGAAAACCGAACCGAACCGTGAAGTTGTGATTCGTTGCACCCCTAATATATATATATATATATATATATATATATGTATATGTTTATGTGTATAATTATATATATACATATATATGTGACATACCTGCATCAGGAGTGACATTTAGGAAGGCTGCTATCGAGTGTGAGCAAAGTCGTTGCACGTCCTTTGGGTCGTTGTAGTTCACATTAGGTAGTAGCACCCAGTGACAGACGTACGACACCAGGTGTCGCCACAGCGGCGTGTGTCTTCGAAGTGATTCGTTTCTCTTGAACGTCGTAAGCAGCATAAACAGCTGCTGAGCACTCAATTCCTTCTAAAAGTAAATAAAAGATTAATACAGAATGTAAAGCAAACCAAAGTGCAACATACGCGCATAAAATAGAAAATGCAGTACGGAAACTAAAAATACTACAAGATGCGCATACGATTTCAAACTTCTCTCGAGATTCGTGAAAAATCAATCTCATGCAACATCAAAGCTAGATTAATTTATTGTATAATATATATCATTGGTAAGACAACTATAAGAACAGATAATCTATTACAAGTGCTGCAGAGTGACAGTGCTCACCAAACGAATCAAGAGCACCCTCCCATCGCCACGTTCGCTCTCCCTCGTTGTCTCTCTCATTCTTTCTCTTTCGCTCTCTCACTCTTGCTCACTCTTGTCTCTCTCATTGCTCTCTCTTTCCTTCGCGCTCTTTCTTTCCCTCTCTCGCTCGATCACACTCTCACTCTCATTCTCTCTCTCTTGCTCTCTCGATATCTCTCTCTGTCTCCCTCTCTTGCTCTCTCGATATCTCTCTCTGTCTCCCTCTCTTGCTCTCTCGATATCTCTCTCTGTCTCCCTCTCTCTCGCTTGCGCTGTCTATCTATCTGTCTGTCTGTCTGTCTGTCTGTCT